TGAATCTTTTAATTATTTACTTTAAAATTTTTGCTTCACACATAAAAAAATAAATTTGTTGAAATGCAATCAGTAATAACAAATTTTAGATATGAATTCATTAAAACTAATAAAATTTAATCTGCCACAAACTTGTTTATTTGTCGATCAAAATTTTCATTTGCCACATTTGCCACGTTGATCATTACAGTATTTGGAAATTTCCAAATTTGGTAAAATCCCTGACTGTACTATGGTGCGTATCACCTATACTCATCAAAAATTTTCATGTGACTTCTAACTGTATCTAGTCCACCAATTTTAAAAATTTTTAAAAAATAAACGGTGCAAATATTACTTTAATTGATTCTCTTTCAATTCCACAGATTAAATTTTTTAATTGCTTAATTTTTTGGGGAGCTGATAGTGTTTAAAAATAGTCAATTTTATTAATAAATTTCAAATTTCGGAAGCCGATCATTACCAATCAGAATCCATTTGTTGTTCATTTTATCACGTGAAAATTTCTGGCCAATGAATAAATATTTTTAATGAAACACATACGCGTAAAATCTTTAATATTAATTGTAACACATACACGTAAAATCTTTTGTTTCATATTAATTATTACAGATAAACAAAAAATGCCACCTCTTCCTAAAAGAAAAAGACAATTTAAAGATCAACCAAGAGATGCAGAAGGTAAATATTTATTAAAAAGGGTATGTAATGTTAATAATAAAGTTGATGAAACAAGGCAGAAGGAAAAGCTGAAAGAGAAAGAATTGGATAAATTGGATGTTACTAATATTAATGAAAAATTGAATAATGAGAATGATGGTTGGGATAATACAGGGAAACATGCTAATGATCTAGTTGATGATGGAGATGAAGCAGAATTGGACAAATTGGATGTTATTAATAATGATGAAGAGTGGGGTGATGATGATGATAGTGGTTGGGATGATGAAGAAGATATAGAAGAAGAGATTAAAATAAATCAAAGATTAAAATTAGATTTAGTGTGGAAGGATAATAATTTATTGGAAAAGACAAAACGAGGTCCATACATGAAAGGCAAGATACCAAAATCAACATATTATGATAAATTTGGTCCAAATGGTATGTTCACTAAAGCAGCTGCTGGTACTAAAAAAATTACAAGTTTTTTTAAAAATAACAATGATGCTCAAGAAGGAATTTTAAGTGACATAGAAGAGGAATTTTCAAGTGATCCAGAGGATGAGGTTTGTCAGATTAATGAAAAAATACAAAAATTAAAAGATGAGTTAGAAAAGCAACACAGCAAGATGACAGTTGTTGAATATAATTGGAAGAGAGCTATTTATGAATACCTAACCCTATCAAATAATAATAATGGTTGTAGAAAAATTAGTGATAGTTTAGAAGCTGCTAAAAAAGTTTTCATTGATGGTGGTGTATGGAAAGCAACAAGAATCAGGTATATTACAAACTTTTGGTTGAATAACAATAAACTTCCTATTTCTAGACAAGGAAAACATAAAAAAACACATAGGTTGATTGATGATGAAGATATTGCTGATATGTGTAGAGTTTGGCTTCATGAACAAAATTATAATGCCACACCATCTAAATTTAAAAATTTTATTCAAGAAGAATTATTACCTAAAATTGGAGTTGCCAGAAGAAAAAACATTAGTTTAATGACTGCAACAAGATGGCTGAATGTTCTTGGTTACTCATTTCAGCAACATCATAAAGGTATATATTATGATGGACATGAAAGGGAGGATGTTGTGCAATATCAGAAAGAATTTTTAGAAAAAATGTTTGAGTATGAAAAGTATATGTCCAAATTTGATGGTGAATTTATGGATCAAATATGCCCTTATTTACTTGAAGGAGAGAAAGAAATAATACTTGTAGTTCAGGATGAATGCATATTCTATTCAAATGATGGTAAACGTGGAGTGTGGACTAAAGATGGAGAAATGCCATTGCGAAAAAAAGGGAATGGAAGATCAATTATGGTAAGTGATTTTTTAACTGAAGTTAATGGACGTCTTTGTTTGAAACAAAATGATATTGCACAACATCCCTATGTACCTGAGGAAGCCCGATGTTATTTAAAACCTGGAATTAATCAGGAAGGTTACTGGACAATTCAACACCTTCTTGACCAAATAGAATACAAGGCAATTCCTATTTTTGAAGCCTTATATCCAGATTGTGTGGCTTTATTTGCTTTTGACAACAGCACTTGTCATGCTGCTTTTAACAAAGATGCTTTGGTTGCAAGTAAAATGAACCTCAATCCAGGTGGCAAGCAACCACTTATGCGAGACACTTATTTTGGACCAAATAAACAATTACAATCAATGACCTTTCCAGAAACACATCCTGATGAGAAACTTTGAGGAAAACCTAAAGGAATTAAACAAGTGTTAGAGGAACGAGGAAAATGGCCAACTGAAGGACTAGTATTAGAATGCAAAGATTGTAAAGAAAAGAATAATGATCTTTCAAGAGTTTCTTGTTGTGCTTGTCAAGTAATGTCCTTGGAACCTGATTTTCTTGCACAAAGGGGAGCAGTTGAAGAATTAATTGAAAATGCAGGTCATAAATGTATTTTTTTCCCCAAGTTCCATTGTGAGCTAAACTTTATTGAGAGATATTGGGGTGCTGCCAAAAGACATTTGCGTGAAAATTGTGATTATTCTTGGCAAGGATTACAAAAAGCAGTGCCTGAGAGCCTTGAATCAGTACCTTTAATTACAATTAGAAGATTTTCAAGAAAGTGCTGGCGCTATATGGATCTATACAGAAAAGGAATTAATGGTAAATTGGCAGAATATGCTGTCAAAAAATATAAATCCCATAGGAGAATTACAGATGGAGAAATAGAAGAATTGAACAAAATTAGAATTAATTGATTGTATTCTTTATTATGAGTAAAATTAGCTTTTACACTGTTAAAAACCCATGTGATAGTATTTTTTTTTTTGACCAAATAAGGTTAAGATATACATTCAAAAATTCGGACTGATCGGCATTTTTTGATGAGTATAGGTGATACGCACCATACTAAATAAAACATCAAAACAAACTGCCAGTACTTACCATGTTTATTTGCTTCACTTGCTCAAGAATATTCCAAGAGTAATTGAAGCCATACGAAACTAAAAGTGATCAATCTTGGAGGCATGCATCAGGATTAACAGCAAAGGAACGTATAAAACTTTTTGCTAAATATTTTCCTGAATTACAAGTTAGTATGGTAAACACTAGACCACCAGCTAATATTCTACCATGTTTGCATTTAAGATCTTGCAAATAAGTATCAAAAAATGATGGAATCTCATTGCTAAGTATTTATTCAAAGTTATACTTTATGAAATTTAAATGTAATTTCTAATTTATTCACATAGAATCAATTACTAAATTTTATTTAACTTTTCTATAGTTCCGATCATATTTAGAACTATTTATTTATTATTTTTATTATATAAAATTCAGCATAGAATTTATTTGTTTTTATTATATAAATTCGGGTTAGAATTTATTTATATCCAAAAGCTTAATAATCATGAAATAATATATTACATAAGGAATTCATTTATAATTTTAATAACAATAACAAGGAAAAAAAAAAGACAATAAATCATCTATATACAAAAGGCATAATTTAACAATTTACTACATGCATTGTTAATAATAATAGGAAAGGGAAAGATGCATTTCTTCTAGTCCAAGTCCTAGTTGAAGACTTACTCCTAATACTTGTCTTACTAGCAGGATTCTAAAAGAAGATTGAATGACAGGTTAATTGACCAAACAATGTTTAAATTTTGATGATCCCTAATTTCTTTGTGATATAATGTTCACTCTGTCTGGTATTGTTGCATTGATTTAAATGT